ACGACCCAAAGGGTCATCACTTGTTTCCATACCCATTCTGTACCTTCAAGGCCTTGAAAACCTCATTTAGGGTTGCCTCGATTTGCGTGCGCAGTCCAGGCACGTATCCGAAAAGCTTAAATATGAATTCTGTGTGAAAAATGCTAAATTTTGATATTAATATGAATAAATTTGACTTCGGTCAACATTTTGGGTAAACGGACCCGGACCCGTGATTTGACGGTCCCGGAGGGTCCGTAGGAGAGACTTGGGCGTATGCCCGGAATCGAAATCCGAGGTCCCGAGCCCGAGAAATGAATTTTTAAAAGAAATTGTTTTCTGAAATTTTTAAAGAAATTTGAAATGAAAATGGTTTATAACGTGTTGGTATCGGGCCCATATTTTGGTTCCGGCGCCCGATATAGGTCTTATATATGGTTTAAGCGCTTTCTGTGAAATTTGGTTGAAATCGGACGTCATTTGACGTGTTTCGGACCTAAATATCTAAAAATGAAAGTTTATGAAGTTTGATGAAAAAGTGATGATTTTGAGGTTTAATTCATTGATGTTGATGTTAGTTTGGCGATTTGATCGCACGGTTAAGTTCGTAGGGTGTGGTTGAGTTAGTGTGTGTGATTGGTTAGGAGCCCCGAGGGCTCGGGAGTGTTTTCGGAGGTGTTCGGGGTGGTTTTGAACTTAGAAAAAGTTGCAGAAAAATAAGCTCCAGCTGTTGCAGAAAAACCTTCTTCGCGATCGCGGAGCATCACCCGCGTTCGCGATGCCTTCGATTTTCTTCCTTCGCGATCGCGCATCTCTTCACGCGTTCACGTAAGCCAAGCTTGGGACCCCAGTAATTTCCTCTTCGCGTTCGCATTCACAGGTTCGCGAAGGCGTAGCCTTGTAGCCTTCTTCATCGCGTTCGCGTGAGCCTTACGCGTTCGCATAAGCCTAAATCCTGGACCCCAGCCTTTTTCTCTTCGTGTTCACATCCTCCCCGATCGCGAACGCGATGCTCAGTTAGGCCAACCCTTCGCGAACGCGTCTCCTTTCCCGCGAACGCGAAGGGCAAATTTTGCCCAGTTAAATGTTAATTTTCAGAAACAGTAGCTACGGGATTCCTTCAAAAATACACGAACTCCTTTCTTCTCCAAGCACTTAGACGTCCATTGAAGCCTCCTTTCTTCAAGACCACTTGGGTTAGTAAATTCCAACTTGTTTTCTTCATTTTTCCATCATTATTAATCAAACTCCAAGGCTTAAATCATGTAATTTAAGGTGTAAATTGGGGGAAATGGGTAGAACTAGGGCTTTTCAATTTTCTTTGATTTAGACCTTGTTTTGGGGTCGAATTTGAAAACAAATTGTATATTCGGGCTCGTGGGGGAATGGGTGACATGGAATTGGTTCGAACCTCGGGTTTGACCAAGCGGGCCCGGGGTCGATTTTGGAATTTTTGGAGAAAGCTTAGAAATTCATATTTAGGCATTGGGTTTAGTTTGTTTTGCTATTATTAATATAGTAAAGTCATTATTTCATAGATTTGCCCGAGTTGGAGCCGAATTCGAGGGGTAAAGCTATACCAGAGGCTAGAGTTGAGTTTGGAGCATTCTAGGTAAGTGTTTGGTCTAACTCTGGCTTGAGGGAATAGGAGTAGAGTCTTTTTGTTGCTAATTGCTATTTGTCGAGTACGGTGTATAGGTATGGTGACGAGTATCTATACACTGGTGTCGAGCATGACTGTGAGTCCTGAATTGCTATATTATCGAATTCTTACTTGTTGTTTATGAGGACTTGGTTGGAAATCTTTAACACTGAGCCAGTAATTGATGATACTGAGTATTGATTTAATTGTGTTAAGTGGAATTTGAGTAAGTTGGGTTATAGCTGGTTTTCCCTTGCCGGGGTAGTTTATTATATTATCTTGTTCTCTTACCGTGATAGTTTATTATAACATCTTTTCTCCCTTGCCGGGATTATTTTGTGTGTTGTGTTGAAAGAAATGGGATCGTGTGGCACGCCGACCACGAGATATTATGAAATGGGATCGAGTGGTAAGCCTACCACGTGATATTATGAAATGGGATCGAGTGGTACGCCTACCACGTGATATTATGAAATGGGATCGAGTGGTACGCCTACCACGTGATATTTTGAACTGGGATCGTGTGGCACGCCGACCACGAGATATTATGAAATGGGACCTGGTTGCACGCCTGCAACGAGAGGAAATTGAAACAAGTGAAAGTGGTCTGTTTTCCCTTATCCTGTGCTAGACGTAATCATATGTAGTTTCTTTTGTTATTCCTGATATTCTGTTCTATGTGCTACCCCATAAGCATGCTCCCCTCCCAGTTTAAATTGTTATTTTCCGCTATTATTTTGTTGTACTTGCATATGTATATCTGCACAGGTTTATTTGGTAGTCTGGTCTAGCCTCGTCACTACTTCACCGGGGTTAGGCTAGGCACTTACCAGCACATGGGGTCGGTTGTGCTGATGCTACACTCTGTGCATCTTTTTGCACAGATCCAGGTGTTGGAGCAGCATTTGAGTGGCAGTAGCATTCTGGGAGCGAGCTTTCAGTCCAGGGATATTCGAGGTAGCCTTGCTGACGTCCGCAGGCCCGGAGTCCCTTTCTAATTTATGCAGTTTGTTATCATTGTTCCGAAGCAGACAGTCCTGTGTTTCATTCAAACCTTGTATTTAGTATTCTGTAGAAGTTCGTGAGTATTGTGACACCAGTCTTGGGTAGAGGATTAGTTAAATTTCTGCATTTCTTTCAGTTAGCTATATTTGAGACTTCCGCTTTATTATTAAATGTTTCATTATTTCTAATATTGTCGTGGTTCGTTAAAGGAGGTAATTGATAATTTGGCTTGCCTAGCTCCTATTAGTCGTCGCCATCACGACTCCCGAAGGTGGGAAATCCAGGTCGTGACAGAGCCAATGCTCCAAAATATACCAATCACAATTCTTCCTCAACCGTTCACATTATATGAAATTTATCAATTAAACCAAGAAATTGTGTCTCATTATTCGAATTAAAAGCAATTAAGACTCACGGTCTTAATGGGGAGAGCACGAGGACGACCAGCGAAGAACACAAAGCTACTGATTCAGGAAGAGAACAGCTCAAAGGAAGGAAGAGTCATGGAAATACCGCGAGTAGGAACACCAAAGCCACTAACAATCGGAGAGGCTGGTACTGTTACATTGAGCAAAGGAGGTATCACTGAGGTGAACAATGTAAGCGGGGGGAATTTGGACAAGGAAGTGCCAAAACACAAAGGAAAGGAACATGCATCACCAGACCCACAAATCTGGCCAACCCTACTAGAAGGAAACAAAGCTCAAACAGGAGCTTGGGTAACACCAGCTAACATGCAGAAAACAACAAACTCGGAAGGAACATCACAGCAGATGAAATCAACAGCAGATCTGGAAAAGGAAGCAACTACTAGTGTCAAAGGGACAACTGTTCAGGCAGGAGGAGCACAAAGGAAACTAGAGCTGGAATCTAAACCAGAACCAACTAAAGCATGGGCGAGGTTATTTGAGGAGAACAAACTGGCAAAAAGAGTTATGGATCTAAAATTCATACCACCTACTCTTGTGAAGGGTGAGGTGATTGTTGAACTTGTACAGGAGGATATAGATAGTGAAATTAAGAAATGGAAAAATGCAGCAATAGTGTATGTCATAGGAAGCTCACCTTCGATTGGGGCCATAGAGAGGTTTATTGCAGGGCAAGGGGAGTTCTCAAAGAAACCAAAAATATACTGTCATAATAAGGGCTTTTTTGTGATCAATTTTTCATGTAAGGAGGAAAGGGATGGGGTGATATACTCAGGACCGCATATGTTAAACAATAGACCAGTTATCATGAAGGCGTGGACTGCTGATGCTGATTTTGATTTTGATGAGGAAGAGTTGAAGACAATTCCTATCTGGATCAAACTACCTGATTTGCCTTTATTTTGTTGGAGTGCAAATGCATTAAGCAAAATTGGTAGTGGCTTCGGCCAGCCAATATATGCTGATGCATGTACTTCAAACAATGAGAGAATATCCTATGCAAGGATATTGATAGAGGTGGATGTGACAAAGGAACTGCCAAATACTGTGAAGATAAAGGATCCAAAGGGAAGAATTATGGAGCAGGAGGTATGGTATGATTGGAAACCTACATACTGTGGGAAATGTTTGCAACTAGGCCACAACTGTCTAAAGAAACAAAACAATATAGGAGGGGGTGAGATGAAAGCAGAACAACAGCAACAGAAGAATATACCAAAGCTGAAAACTGAATGGAGACCTATCAATAAAGAGGCAGGAGCACAACAACAACATCAACAGGTGACAGGGGAAACTAATGATAAAGAACAAAGGGACAAGGAGAAAGAAGATGGGAATAGAGGTGATTGGCAAATAGTTAAAAACAAATCTGCAGCAAAAGGGCAAAAAACACAAGGAGCTGGGCAAAGTATTCAAGTGATGAATGGTTTCAACAGCTTAATGGGAGCAGGACAAGATCAAGAAGCAAAGGGAAATACTGAATGTAGTACAAGTAGAGGAGTGGAGGTAGAGGGGATGGGGCAAAAACCTATAGTTTCAATATGATAGTCACATGGAATGTGAGGGGGTTTAATAAAGTGTTTAAGCACAAGGAGATAAAGGTGTTTATGAAAGAAAATAAAGTAGATATGATAGCAATATTTGAACATAGAGTAAATGATATAAAAGCAGAAAAAATAATTGAGAAAATTCTTCCTGGGTGGGGCTGGTGTCATAATGCATCTAGTACTTGCAAAGGGAGGATTTGGGTAATATGGAATCCTAATGTAATTCAGTATACAGTGTTAGAGAAACATGAGCAGATGATACATGGTAGGGTTAGGACTCTGAATAATGTAGAGTTCTATTTCTCAGCAGTGTATAGCCTTCATAACATACAGAACAGGAAAGCATTATAGGGGATAATAAGGAATATAGCAGTACAATGCAGGAGACCTTGGCTGATGATGGGAGATTTCAACTCTATCTTAGGGGTTGAGGACAGAATGCATGGAAATGATGTGCACGAGAATGAAACAAGGGACTTCAAGGAAACAATAGAAGATTGTAACTTGGCTGAGCTACCAACAGTGGGAAGGGAGTACACATGGACAAATGGGCATGTATTTAGTAGGATTGATAGAGCAATTGTAAATGATAGCTGGATGATAAATATGCCTCCTCAACAAGTCCAAATTATGAATTCTATGTTCTCAGATCACTCTCCACTGGGACTTGAACTAGAGGTGAGGAGGGACAACAGGAAGAGGCCATTCAAATTCTATAATTGTATGGCTGACCATCCTGAGTTTGTGAAGATTGTGGAAAATAGCTGGACAAGGAAGAATGAGAGAATGGAGGATGTATGGAGGAACTTAAAGTCAGTCAAAGCTGCTTTGAAACTATTGAATAATGAGGAGTTCAAAAATGTCAAAGAGAAAATAAAAAATACAAGGAAGGAGTTGAATGAGATCCAAGACAATATGAAGAATGCAGATCCTACAAATCACTTGTTTGAAGAAGAAAAGAAGCTACTATTGCAACTAGAGAAATGGGATAAAATTGAGGAGTCTATATACAAACAGAAATCAAGAGTGCAATGGCTAAGGCTTGGGGATACTAATAGTGCTTCTTTCTTTGCTAGCATGAAGGGGAGAAAAGCTCAGAATCAAATAACCAAACTCACAAACAGTAATGGGGAGATACTGACAGAGGCAAGGAGGATTGAAGAAGAAGTAACTGATTTCTATAAATCTCTGATGGGCACTGCAAAAGAGAATATACCAGCTATTCACCCAGGATGGATGAGGAATGGACCACTACTCAATAGGAATCAGCAGCTACAACTGATTGCTCCTTATACAAGGGAAGAGATACTAGAGGCTCTAAAAGATATTGATGATATGAAAGCACTAGGGGGGATGGTTTCAATGAATGCTTCTTTAAAAAAGCTTGGCAGATCATTGGAGATGACATTGTGGAGGCAGTATTGGAATTCTTCAAGACTGGGAAAATGTATAAACCTATAAACACTACAGTTGTCACCCTTATTCCTAAAGTGAAGAACCCAAGCTCAATCAGAGAATACAGGCCTATCTCTTGCTGCACTACAGTCTATAATATCATTTCTAAAATGATAACANCCTTCTCGACCATGCGTCGAGCCTTCACATATGAGATAACACTGCGGGTGGCATGACCTAGGGTCCCTCTCCACTCCAATCGGGGTAAATCTGGCAAAGCCAAGGTCACGGTCTTGGCGTGACAATCCAAGATAGCATGATACGGGGACAACCAATCCATCCCTAATATAACGTCGAAATCCACCATGTCTAAGAGCAATAAATCAACACGGGTCTCAAGACCCTCAAATACTACCACACAGGAACGATGAAATCGGTCGACCACTATAGAATCCCCCACCGGTGTAGATACATAAACAGGAATACCCAAAGCATCACTAGGCATAGTCAGGTAGGGTGCAAAATAGGACGACACATATGAATACGTAGACCCAGGGTCAAATAGCACTGAAGCATCCCTATCACAGACCAGAATAGTACCTGTAATAACTGCATCTGAAGACTCAGTCTCTGGCCTGGCTGTAAGAGCATAACACCGGGGCTGGGCCCCACCTCCCTGAACCATATCTCTGGGACGATCGGCTGCTGGCTGGCCTCTATCTCTGGCAGTCCGAGCTCACCTCTATGATCTGTACCTCCACCTCTATGGCCTCTACCCCCGCCTCTAGCTGGCTAGGCGGCCCGTGGATCACCTGATGCCTGAATCATAGGACGAGGACCCTGCTGCTGAGAGCTGTCAGAAGCTCGAGGGCAATACCTGGCAATATGTCTCGTGTCGCCACACGTGTAACAAGCCCTCGGCTGCTGAGAATAACGGAGTGGTGGTGCGCTGATAGGTGCTGATGGTGAACTGAAAAGCTGCTGGTCAGAAGACTGCGGCTGAGAGCCACGACCACCTGAAGTACCATGTGAGACCTGTAGGGCTGACTGAAAGGGCCTCGGAGGATGGCCTCTACCATAAGAATCCCCACCTCCAGACGAGGTACCACTGAATCTACCTGCATGACGGGGTCTCTTGTCTGACCCATGACCACCTCCCCGTGCAAGAGCCATCTCAACTCTACCGGCCGCATTGGCCGCCTCCTGAAAAGAAATCTCACTACCAGCTCCCATAGCCATCTGGAGACGGATCGGCTGAATCAATCCATCAATAAACCTCCGCACCCTCTCTCTCTCTCGGTAGGGAGTATAACAACAGCTTAGCGCGCCAGATCAATGAACCGAGTCTCATACTGTGTGACTGTCATAGAGCCCTGCTGGAGGCGCTCGAACTGCCTGCGAAGAGCCTCTCGCTGAGTAACTGGGAGAAACTTCTCCAAAAATAACTCTGCAAACTGGTCCAAGTTAATGATTGCGACCCTGCTGGTCTGGATAAACAATAGTCCCTCCACCAAGTCTTGGCGGATCCTGCCAGTCGAAAGGTGATGAAGTCGACCCCATTGGTCTCCACAATACCCATAGTCCGGAGATCTCATGGCAGCTGAATAAGAAATCCTGAGGATCCTCTGATGAAACACCGCTGAATGTGGTGGTGAAGAGCTTGGAGAACCTATCAAGCCTCCACAAAGCATCTGAGGACATAGCCGCTCCATCGCCGGTCTGAGTCACAATACCCGGCTGAACTGCCACCGGTGGCTGCACCACTGGAACCTGTGCCTGGGGAGCTACCTGCTCCGGAGTACGTGTAGCAGGAGTCTGAACCCCTCCTCCAGCCTGAGAAGTGGCTGGTGCTACTGGAAGCAAACCCGCTCTAGTGACGCTCTCCACAAAGCCTACCAATCTGACCAGAGCGTCCTGAAGAACTGGGGTGGCTATGAACCCCTCTGGGACCTGAGCAGGGCCCACCGGAGCTGCTGGGGCTGGAGCCTCCTCATCATAATCAACATGAGGCTCCACCTCTGGGACTGCTGCTCGGGGCTGAGCTCTGCCCCGGCCTTGGCCTCTGGCACGACCTCAGCCTCTGCCCCTCGCAGGAGCTGCTGGGGGCTCGGGCTGCTGCGCGGTAGAAGAGGAAGCACGTGTTCTCGCCATCTGCGAAAGAACAGAGTAGAAAGACAATCAGTATTTGAGAAACAGAATCGCACGACAGGAAAGAACAAAGGTGAAACTTTTCCTAACTCCGTAGCCTCTGGAGGATAAATACAGACGTCTCCGTACCGATCCCTCAGACTCTACCGAGGTTGTCCGCGAGTTGTGAGACCTTTGTAACCTAGTGCTCTGATACCAACTTGTCACGACCCGGATTTCCCACCCTCGGGAGACGTGATGGCGCCTACTAATAGGAGCTAGGCAAGCCAATTAATTTAACATTTCTCTCAACATCATTAACAGTATAAAGAAGAACGAGGCAATTAATATAAAAGCGGAAGTCTCGAAACATAAATAACTGAAACCAAGTGCGGAAATTCAAATACACCTCTACCCAGATCTGGTGTCACTAACTCACGAACTTCTACTGAATGCTAAACACAAAGTCTGAATAAGAATACAGTACTGTCTGATCCGATACAAGGGAAATCAAACGAAAGACAGAGATAAGAGAGACTCCGGGCCATGCGGACGCCAGCAAGGCTACCTCGGAAATCTCCGGACTGAAGTAAGCTCCCTACGCTCCTACTGCTGACCAAAGGTGCCTGCTCCGGTACTATGATCTGTGCACAAAAGCACAGAAGTGTAGCATCAGCACAACCGACCCCATGTGTTGGTAAGTGCCTGGCCTAACCCCGGCGAGGTAGTAACGAGGCTACACAGGACCTACCAAAAAAACCTGTGCAGATATATATATAAAAGGCAACAGAAATAACAACAGAGAATATCAACTAAAAAGGGGAAGGGGGCATGCTCGGAAAAAATACAGCGAATACAGATCAACGGATATAACGACGAAACTATCTCGATACCATAGCTCATATATATAAGTGGTCGGCGCGCCACACGATCCCATTTCTTAATTCATAAGTGGACGGCGTGCCACACGATCCCATTTCATAATATAAAAGTGGTCGGCGTGCCACACGATCCCATTTCATAATATATATACATATAAGTGGACGGCGTGCCACATGATCCCATATCATAGTATATAATATCTGACTTTGTAAAGAAGGCCCCATTAGGGGAATTCGACAACATAATACTTTAACCCGGCAAGGGTACAGCTAACAGCCCAAATATCCCGGCAAGGGAGAGTACATAATAATAGTCTACACGTCCCGGCAAGGGAATAATCACAACACGTCCTCTTTTAAATCACTTCTTTCCTTAACTATCACATTCTTGTTCGAGCCCACGCTCCAAGATATACCAATCACAATTCTTCCTCAACCGTTCACATTATATGAAATTTATCAATTAAACAAAGAAATTGTGTCTCATCATTCGAATTAAAAGCAATTAAGACTCACGGTCATGCTAGACTCCGGTGCATAGATAACCGTCACCATGCCTATACACCGTACTCCACATTTAGCAAGTAGCAAATAACATCCTAATCCTATTCCCTCAAGCCAAAGTTAGAACAAACACTTACCTCGGTCCAAAGAATAGCAATCAATCCTCAAATACCGCATTTCCTCTACAATCCGACTCCGAAACAATGGTATCTAGGCATAATTAGTTCAATAATATCAATAAGGGCTCAAAAACATAATCCCATAGCCTAGAAATGAAATTCCTATCATTCTTCCAAAAACACCAAAATTCGACACCGGTCCCACATGGTCCAAACACGAGGCTCGGACCAAAACCCAATCACCCATAACCCCACGAGTTCAAATATATAATTTATTTCAAGATTCGACCCCAAATTGAGGTTGAATCACCCAAAATCCCCAAAGCCCTAACTCTACCCAAAACCCCCTTTTTCTACTTTGAATTCATGATTTAGGGCTAGGAAATTAGTGATTAGTAAAGAAAATTGAAGAAAACAAGTTGAACAATGCTTACCCAAGAAGTTTTGATGGAAGGGAGCTTCAATGGACGCCTAAGTGCTTGGAGAAGAAAGGAGTTCGTGTATTTTTATGAAAAATCCCGAGCTACTGTTCTATTTTTAACTTAAAAATTCGCTGGGCAAAATTGCCCTTCGCGTTCGCGGGAAAGGGGCCGCATTCGCGAAGGGTAAACTGGACACTTCATCGCGAACGCATGAAATAGAATGTGAACGCGTAGAAGAAAATGTTGGGGGGTCCAGGGACTGTTATACGCGAACGCGTGAGGGGCCACGCAAACGCGTTGAGGAAGCTGGTAAAGCTACGCGTTCGCGATTGTAAGGATGCGAACGCGAAGGAGGGGGAATTAGAACTACGCGATCGCATGAAGTAGGACGCGATCGTAAGAGGGGAATACCAAAGCACTGCGAACGCGAGCCTGAGGCCGCGTTCGCGAAGAACAAAATGCTTGTGTAAAAAAATGTAGCAGAATCTGATCCTTTCCTAAGTGTAAAAACACCCCGAACCACCTCCAATTCACTCCCGAGCCCTCAGGGCTCCTAACCAATCACACACACTAACTTAATAACATCCTACGAACTTACTCGAGCGATCAAATCGCCAAAATAACATCAAAATCATTGAATCAAGCCTCAAGATCATCATTTTCATTTCAAACTTCATAACTTCAAATTTTAGATATTTAGGTCCGAAACACGTCAAACGACGTCCGATTTCGACCAAATTTTACAGAAAGCGCTTAACACATATTTAAGACTTGTACCGGGTGTCGGAACCAAAATACGAGCCCGATACCATAGTCTTTTAATCAATTTTCATTTCTATTTTCCTTTATAATTTCAGAAAAATAATTTCACAGAAAAATTCATTTCTCGGGCTCTCGACCTCGAAATTCGACTCCAGGCATATGCCCGAGTCCCATATTTTTCTACGGACCCTCCGGGACCGCCAAATTACGGGTCCGGGTCCGTTTACCAAAAATATTGACCAAAGTCAACT